TCGGATATTGGTCTAATCGCGCCATCTTTAGACTTTCTGAACAACGAATTTTGTACTAAAAAGAACACACAAAAAATTCGGGTGTTTATAAATATGAATAAAATCTACAATTTGAGTTGAGACAGTTTTTTTTTTTTTTTTACACATCTTGATTCGCTCGTTGTTTAAGCTCTTTATGTTCCTTTTTTTTCTGGTTCAACCTGAGCTTACGTGTTTTAGACTATATTGATGATTGCCAATGACAAAGGAGAGATCCAGTAACTATAGGAAGATCATATAGATTTCTAGCTCAATATTTTAAATTAAGCATACCGGTAACTCAAGTCTTATGCATATAGAGAACCCCGTTCATTTCGTCTTAATTTAGTACATAACGGGTTTTAAAATTATATTTTAGTAAATAAGCTATTTTAAATGAGTAATCGATCATTACCAACACAGTAAGCGACCTCTGTAATTAAAAACAAATGTTTTCAGAACACAACTAGCACTTAAGAAGTTGCTTTGTTTATTTGTAGTTAGGCACAAAGCTACACGATGGGCTATCTGTAATATGTCCACCACGGGTATCGAAAGCCGGTTTCTAGCGTTATAAGTCCACAGTCTTATCGCTGTACCACTGGGTGCAAAGAGTTTTACTAGTGTATATCTTTATTTATCACAGAAAACGATAACTGATATATTTTTTTTATTCACAAAAAGAGTTTTCCTTTTAATATAGGCCCGGCATGGCCAGGTGGTTAGGGCACTCGACTCACAATCTGAGGGTCGCGAATTCGAATCCCCGTCACACCAAACATGCTCACCCTTTCAGCCGTGGGGGCGTTATAATGTGACGGTCAATCCCACTATTCGTTGGTAAAAGAGTAGCCCAAGAGTTGGCGGTGGGTGGTGATGATTAGCTGCCTTCCCTCTAGTCTTTCACTGCTAAATTAAGGATGGCTAGTGCAGATAGCCCTAGTGTAGCTTTGCGCGAAATTCAAAACAAACAAACAAACATGAATTACGTTCACAGTATCTGACGGTGTTTTCTTTTTTTTTTAAAGTCAGTTTTTCCAGTTGAACATTTACATTTGACAGAATGACAATTAATTCCAAAGAAATACGTACTCCAAGAATAAAACGATTATAAAAAATGTTAAGATACATATCTAAAAATATTACTTCTCTGTCTTACTTGTACAAGGAATCACATTCAGATTAAGAAGACATACCAGTGTTTTGTCCAAACATGTAGCTAAGTTCCCCCGCTTCCCCCAAAAATAAATCACTTTATTATGCTTATAAATCTCTGTTCCACGCTCATCCTAAAATACTAGGTTTGCTTTGCAAACAATGGATTCGCGTTTAAAAATTAAGGAGGAAGGTCATAAATATGTTACTGCCATCTTTCGTAGACTTTAAGTACTAAATATATTTTTATATGTTATTATTAATTTAAACAATTATTTGTTCCCTTTCTTAGGCCCTCAAGGGCTATCTGTGCTAACCCTCGCCTAACTTAGAAATGATAGGTTAGAGTGAAGGCAGCTAATCATCACCACCCACCACCAACTGTTGAACTACTTTTTTACTAACGAACTTTTACCCTTGCACTATAACGCCCCCCACGGAAGAAAGAGGGAGCATGTTCGGCGACGGGATTCGAACTCGTGACCCGCAAGTTGCAACCTTAGAAGAGCTGATAGAAAGTCCAAACCGTTTGATATGGGGAAGTTATAACATATCACTGCTGCTCTTAAACGTTAATAGTACTTTATAAGAATATTCTTTAGGCCCTCTGCTGTCCTCGGAGCTATGTTACGTATCGCCAATCCTATACACTCTGACGGTATTGCGAAGTAACTCTTGGCCCACACTTTTACAATCCATTCAGAAATCCTCTACTGCAAATGTCCGTTGATTCCAAGGTCACCTTTAAGCAAACGAAAGGTACAAAACTTTATCAAAACTAATAGGTTTGAGTTTGAATCGAATTACTCTGGTTCCAGTTTATTTATTTTTCTCATGAAAACAGTAGTTGATTTTAAAGTGTTGTTACGATAGC